CTGGCGGGAAGCATGCCTACAAAAACGGCGGTGTGTTTTCGCCGTCGATGATCTTCCGCGAGTTGACGTTTGATCTGTACTTGAAGATTGTTGGTATCACGACGCCGTCGCCTGAAGTTGATGAATTTATGAAAACGCCCAATTATGGGGAAACGAGAATGGATGATTTGGAGGCTAGGGTTCGTATGGCCGCTTTTGGTCCGAAAACCAAGTTCCGCCGCGCTATTAAGCAGTTGGTGGATATCCTCGTCTCCTTGCACATTTTGAAGCCCCTGCCCCGTCTGGACCATGAAGGGAACATTATTCATGAAGGGCTTGGCGACCCCGCTGCTGGGCTTGGTGCGATTCAGTCTGATTTTGCTCCAAAGTACAGGCTGCAGAGACGAGTTCCGTTGCACGACTATGCGTTGCCGAGCAGGCCGCTGCTTCGGTACCTCACGATCGACACCATGACGGATTCTCGCCAGTACTGGGCTCAGCTGGAGTACATTTGCTCGCAGAAGGATATGCGCAAATGGAAGGCTTATGAGGAGGGTAACGAGGAGGATCAGGGTGGTGATGATGATGTGGAGATTATCGACGAATCGGGCGGCACCAGCAAGGTGAAAGGGAAGAAAACGCAAAAGTCTTCAGCAAGCTCCAGTGACGATGCTCTTGCCTTCATCACCGTCGTTCGCAACTGGCACTGCCACCACCCGTACTCTGCGCAACAGCGGACTATCCTCGAAGTTCATGTGGATAGAAAGCTGGGGACGACAGCGCTTAACGATGACATTGTGTGCCGGAGGTTGGCTGAACAGACGGGATTGAGTGTACCCCGTGTCAAGGCGTACTTCAAACGTGTCGAGGATGCCCACCAACGAAAGATGTTGATGAAGAAGCAGGCGAAGCAGGAGAAGCAGTTGTCGGCTATTGCTCAGAAGATGAAACAGAGCAATCTGATTAAACCGCAGACTGCTCGGGAGAAGCGCATCTCGCGCGTTCTTGCCGCCATTTCGTCGCCGGATCAGCAGGATCAGGCGCAAAGTGACGAGGCGAGCGAAGCTTCCGAACGGCAAAAATCTGCTGGACGTAGAGTGAGGGACGTACTTGGACGGACTGGGAGGAAGACTCTTCGTGGGGAGGATTCTCCGATCGCGGATCCTGTCAAGCGGAAGAAGTTGGTGGCTGCTGTGGAAGGCGCCGCACCTTTCGAAAACCGTGACGAGGAGAACATCCCCGTCGTTGCTGATGAGGAACTTTTTCGCACGCAATATGAGTACGTTCATAAGCGGAATCGGATCAGCTGGACTCCCGAGGAAGAAGAGACTCTCTTGCTTGCTTATGCCGTCATGTACCGTCGTGCGAAGGGTGTGCGCTTTATGTGGACGCCTGTCTCGAAGCTTTTTGTGACCAACGCTCGCAATCCTGAGATGTGTCGTCGGCGAATCAATGTGCTCATGAAGCAACCCCTTCAACAGGATCGGATTAATGGGCTGATTAGCAAGTGGGATATGGTCTATGCGGAGGGGAAAAATCAGGGGGCGTTTGATGCACAGGATGATGTTGATGTCCTCAGTTTGGATATTAGCGGGATGGTCGAGTACTTCCGAACTGCTTTGGCGGATGTTGATGAGTAAGTTTTGATCCCGTCTTGTCTTCTTCTTTCCCACTCGCGTCCTGCTGGACTTGTCCGGGGAAAAGGACTTCGATTTCTGATTACTTTTCAAGATGGACGACTAAAATGTAACGTATTTTCTCTTTCTCATTAAGGCACATGGACCCCGCTCCTTTGATCCACCTGCCCACGGACGTTGCAACACTCGAGTCCATGTTCACCGTCAAACCGTTGCAGGTCAACAGTCCTTCTGAGCCGCAGGACCTTGACGAGATTTTGGAGGAGAAGATCAGTTTGCGATCCAAGCTGGCTGTGTTGTACTCTCGATCTTTGGTTTGCAACGCAAATGATGTGACGCTTTTGGATTCACCCGCTGCATCGCCTGTGCAAACGGAAGAGAGCAGGGAGGAAGAGATTTCGGTTATGTCGCAGGAGGAAAGGCACCGTCAGGAGCATGAGCAGAATCTTGTGAAGGCGGTTATCAAGGTGAGGTTACGCAATATCTTCGGGGCTTGTGGCGGTTGGCGACGGTTCGCTGGATCGTTGATCACTAACATTTTTGATTAATCGCGGAATTTACAGATGATTCTGATGACACCGGAAAAGGACTACGACCCCACGCATGCGTTCTGGATTTTGAACAAGTTCCCGCAGATGACGATTGTGAATGCCCTCAAAGAAATGAATGATCAAGGGACGATCGTCAAGATCAAGGGCAAACCGGATCGTAGGGTTCCTGGGCGTGCGTACCAGCTCTCTGATAAGTACGTGAATGTGACATAGCCATCCTTTCTTAAAATACTTTCGCAGTGATGTCAGACAAATTATACTGGAAACCACTTGCTGACATGGCCTTGCTTATTCTGCAAAAAGATTCCTGTCAACCATTCGAGGTTCTCTACCCAACCGCTTGATTCCTCAAGCCATAACTTACGTCGAACGCATGGAGAAGACGATTAAGGAACAAAATGAAGGTGACGAGTTGACCTTCTCTCCCCTCGCGAACAATGGAACGATGGCGGTCCTTTTGGATTTGATTGCTGGTGGCAAGATAAGTGCGTCAGCGAAATTCGACGAGAATCTTGTCAGCCGTCCGATATCTCGGAGTGACATCGGTATGTACATGATCGATTGTGATTTTCCTCCTTCGCAGACATGTATCACGGCCGGAAGTGTAACTCTGTCTTGTTTGTTCAATCGCAGATGACACACGGCTGGACTGCGAGATCACCATCAAACCCGAAGTGAATCTTCAGCTGTCACGGAAGCGGAAGCATCACGATATGGAGGACATCGTCGTTGCTGTGAGTGCTGCGGCATCCCGTCTTGAGTCCAATGGTGAACCCGCTGCGAAGAGGATGAGACTTTCCGAAGACGATCAAAGCGGCGGCATTGGTGACACTGTGGAAATGGACACGATGGAAGATGGCGGTTCTGTAATCGCCACTGTCTTGGACAAAGTTCCGTGCGACGATGAAGAGGATCGGTCCTGGTTGAGGAAAATCTTCAAGATTATTGATGATAGGAAGGCTGCTGGTGCTTCTATGGTTGAGATTAAGGTAGGTTGTTGGTAATCGTGATTTGGTTCACCTTCGAAGCTGGGGCAGAATCCTTCAAGTTTTTCACTCAACGTCGTACGCATCTTTCCTTTTGTCCTCCCCGCCTTTTTTGCAGGCCGCCTTGGAACCCAATGACTTTATGAACGACACTCTCCTCCGGCGGTTCGTGAACTGGCTCTGTCGCATCAAGTTGCAGGCACCAGAAATTCCGATTGTTTCGAGGGTCGGGTTCAACACGCATCGATACGTTGGCTACACCCACCTGGAGAATTGGACTGTACAAACTGACACGGGCATGGACGAGAAGGACAAGGATCCCTTGACGGAGGTGCTGGTTCAGGAAGTAAAAACGAGCCAACAAATTCAGCGTTCAAAGGCAGTGGATTTCACACCTGCGCGGATGTGGTACGATATCAATGGGAATAAGGTTGATTCCGTTCTTCGTGCGGGAATGGAGACTGTTTTGTCTTATATGGTACAGTTTCCGGGGATATCTGAGGTAAGTTGTATTGAGAGTAGAAGAGTTTGGAGTTTAGGGTTGCAGGGTCCCGTGCGTCTTTAAATGAAGGTGTTGTCTTGCGGATGTCGAACTAATATGCCTCTTTTCCAAATGTTTCCTTGCTTTCGTTAGTCCAAATTGCATCGGCGGTTATCATGTGTCATGTCTCGAGCGGAACTGGAGGACATCTTGGAACTCCTGCTCCAACGTGGCGCATGCCGTCGCAAGTGCATTATGAGACCGAAGGCCAATCAGCTCTTCGACTCTGAACCCGATTTGGACAACGACGTGTACCCGTATGAGTTTGAACAGCGGCATTTCTTCTTGGATGCAGGTATGTGGCACCATGCAAAGGGATCCTTTGTAGTCGGTGATTATTTGAATTACTGTCACCAGGATAAGATTGACGTTCTTGTTTATTGTTTTCGGTTTCCAGATGTGGATGCTATCGATTCAAACAAGATCACATGCTACTTCCCGAACCTCGGGTGGTATCGAAAGACCGCCTGAAACAAACAACAAACCCCCTTCACCCAACCCCCTTTTCAAGAAAAATAAATGCATGTCGCACCGAACTCACCATCACAACCACCCCACACTCTCCGTTCATTGGTTTTTGTTATTCCTTGACCTTGCTTTTGCAAGCAAAATCCTGTATTTTCAGACACTCCAGGTTTTTTCTCGTCTTCTTTTTTTTCGCCATGTTCGTTTTTTGTCCTTTTTATCTATCTGCCCCGGGAGTGGTGGGATTGCGGGAATAATATTGAATGTGTAGAACATTCCGATCCTGTTTTCTTCTCAATCGTCCATGAGTTCCCTCAGTGGAGTAAAATGTGCGGATTACTGCAACGATGTGTCGTTAGTCTATTTTGTTTGATGTGGTCGCGTCTCCTCCCATTCGCACAAATACGAGGGGTCCATAAACCCATCGGCACTGCGCATAGGACATACAAAAGTTGAAACAACTCGTAGCAAAACAGTGTAAAGAACAAAAAACCTTCATCTCGCAATCGTCATTGTAAACCACGCCAATCGACACGGGGCTTGATACATCCTGTGCCTCCGAGTCCCGATAGGGATCGGACACACATTGAATAGGGTATCAGAGAAAGAAGATCCTGTGTTCGCAACAAATGAAGACCCATCACGGCGTGTGGGGTCGTGGGGGGACGTACCGGGGGGCTTGGGACGGGAGTTTGAGTGGGGCGATGGGGGTTGCGTGGGTTTGAATTTTAACAATGACGATTGACAGCTCAAGTCGTTTGTCCACCAGCATCTTGACACACCCCAATCAAAAATCATACTCCGCCACACCTGCAAAAACACTTTTACAGGTCTTGTACAGCACCCGAGCTGGGGGTCGAACCCAGGACCTTCGGCTTAGGAGGCCGACGCGATATCCACTACGCTACCCGGGCTTCGAGCATATTCTTTTCCTGTTTCTATATATTTACAGAAGGCGACTTTTTTGACTTTTTTGTGTATCCCATAAGTTTTTGGGGGGATTGGGGCGTGTACTACCTTGAGTTGGATGTGTCGTACGTGTGTTACGTTGGTGCATTTGCAACTCCGCTGGTGCAGGGGGAAGTGAGGGGAGTGGGGGGAGTGAGGGGAGAAGGAACGCGCGTTGCGTGGTCTCGATTTCCGATGTTTTGAACTTGCCCTGCAGGTGGGATTACCACACCCCACTGTTTATTTCACGTTTTGCGTCATCACCATTACTACGTATTTAAATCTGCCTTCCTCAACCCCAGCTCGCGTTCACTGGCAGGCCAACTGTGACTCGGACTAATGGTAACTGAAGACTCTGACCGTTCCTCGCCATCACCCTGCCAGTGAAATCAAGTAAATCACCGTGAAGCTCATCATTCAAGAGTTTCAAACGACGTCCCTGCTCAGTGCAGTGCTCTGAACTGCCCTGCCCACCTTTTTGAAATTCAATATTTGATAGCATTCATCTTGGACTGCTTAGCAACTGATCGCTGGTATTAAAGTTGTACCTTGGATCGGATCTAGCCTTTACAATATAATACAAAGTTCCCCACCATCGTGACAGTCTTATGGTAACTGGTTACTCACATCCGCCTTCAAGATGTCTCCACGAGTCCAACGTAAACAAGTCCACATATTATAAACCGGCTAACATCGTGATCGCGATCCTCTTGAACCGTTGTCAACTCGGTGTTTGGAATCCAAATTAAATCTACAGTAAGCCACGGTAAGCCTTAATTAGGGATATGTGTCCCTCATCAAATGTTTAGTGGGGCATGCTACATTGAAAACTAAAGTACCCAGTTCGCCTTTTTGTTTCAGGTGACACAAGGTGGAGACTGTTCTCAAAAAGAAACTTCCAAGATGTCAACACTCACCATTCGCCTCATAAAGTCCTTCGAGTACCGAACGGTCAAGAACCTGGTCCTTCATGATATCGATTTGGAGAAAATGACGGTTGGAGAGTTGATGCAGTTGGTCCAAGAAAGTGAGTTGGGATGATCGTGCTTGCGTGTTGCATGGCGAGGTTCAGGTCAAAAAGGAAGTTGGGGATGAAGACGCATTCGGGTGGAGATATTTGGGTGGAGATAGGGCTATGATGATGCTGGGATCGTTGGATGACCTCCGTATTTTGCATTTTGGGCATCGGGTTTGGTGCTTTGGGAGACGGTGGTCGTTGGAAAGCGATATGTCGCGTTCATGCGGTCCTTTCATCCGGTCTCCTTCACACAACCCCTGAATGCTGAGTATGAACCTATATCAATCAACGCGATAGAGATCAAGTCCACGCCAGGCTATAAACCGTATTTGACGAATAATTTCGGTAAGCACGAGCACGTTTGGCCCGTCTTGATCTGATCTATCTTTAACTGCTCGTGTCTCTTTTGTGGATGACCTTCATCTCACGTTCCTTGTTCTTACTTATAACTTGAACTTGCTTCCAAACTCCCCAAAGATACGTTCAAGCTCTACGTCAAAGCACATGGATCTAAGGTTTGTATCTTCTTTGCAGTGTTCCGCCGAATTTTCAGGAGAGGCCAAAGTTGTTATTTATCCATTATTGTCGGGGATAACCCCTGCCCTTCAAGGGATAAATAGACAACGAATTTAGTCATCAATATCGAACATGATGATATATTTATGGACGAGTCCAAGACCCTCGCGGCTCAGGGCGCTGGTGAGTTATCTTTGGGGAATTGGGATGGACGTTGTGTAAACACGGAGAAAAATCTGATAGCTCTTCATCATTGCCATTCGTTCTCACAATTCTCTCTCTCTCAACCTTCATCACATCCATTCCCTTTCCCTTCTCCTTTTGGATTGTGGCAGAACACGAAACAGAGATCAGCTTTTTCAACAAAGAAGCGTACATAGCATACAAGGCACATCCCGAGACCAAATGGTGAAAGAAATGAATCAGAATATGGTTGTTTTGTAATGGATTTACGTACATATTCAATAAAGTAATCGCCGCCAACGTTGCGCTTCGTCCATCACTACCCATCACTATCGCTGAACCCTCATTACTCTCCTTCGCCTGTCACATACAGTTGTAGGCCATTGCAGTTGAGGAAAATCAGACGGAGGAAAAAGAATCTTCACATAATCTTAGACGATGGAACTTCATATATAATAAAAAATATTAATATGTTGGCCTCAGAAATAGGAAAAAATAAAACAGAAAGGGTGTAAAGTGTCAAGAGTAAACAGAAAGGGTGTGGTGCAGAACAGCAGAACTTGGTTGCAAACGATCGTTTTTGGGGGCTTGCCGTCGGAGTACGAAAAGGAGGCGGACCAATCATGGCATCGCGGCTTGGGTGACGTGTACGCCCCAGGTGCGTCTGTCCGCCTCTGTCCGCTCCACTTTGTGGCTTTGTGTGTTTTCCAAAGGAACCGTCCCAGAAACCGTAGCGCAATCACGATCACTCAAGACCACTCAAGACGACCAATTGACCGAAGAAGGATTGTGGATGTGATTCTTTCAAGTACTGTGGTAGACGCCATCCAAGACGACACCCGCGAACTTCATCAGGCGTGCTCCAACTAGACAAGTGCTAGAGGTGGTCTACACCAAACCACTCTTAGAAAGACTCCTGAGATTTCTTTCGCCGTCGTCTCTTTGCCATGTCAGCGAATCGCCAACAACTATGGGGTCCCCATCGTTTATGGGGGGCAGCCCTTTTGTTTCTTTTCGCGTGCACCTTTATGCAACAAGTCGCGGCAACTCAACCCTTTTTCACCAGCAACGCAGTTGACGACGACTCAGACACGGCCTTGGTGCTTAACCACACACAGAAGTTCAATGCGCAGATGGAAGTCCAGGATATGGCGGTCTTCGAGCGAGACGGGTCTGCCTTCCTTGTCGGCGTCAATTACACCTCAGCGATTTCCGTTTTCCTCACACCTGACCAAAACCAGCAAGGGAGTGGTGCTGGCATCGCTATTGGGTACATTCCCCCCTTTGCACCGAGGTCTGCCCCCCAGTTCGGTGGTATTGCAGTGGACTCTGACAGCAACCGTCTCTTCCTTTCCGACGTTCTCTTCCATCGCATCTTCAAAGTCGATTTGGGAGCGGGCAAGAAGTCCCTGCTATACGATCCAGACCCCAACAATCCTGTGTTAGGTCCTGTCCTCGGTAAAACCAAACTGAGTGGTCTGATTCGTCTCAGTATCGACAAGTTGGATGTATATTTCGTCGGCACGCGGAGGCTGAGAGACATTGGTGATGTATCAATCATTTACAAGTCACCATCAACACCAGCGACAGGGGAGGAACTTGCCGTTGTTGGTATGTTCCAGGGCTTCACCATTGAAGATTTGGCAATTTGCTACGTCAACGGTACGAAGGAGGTCGTTGTTTCCATGTTCAACGCGGTATCCACGTTGGTAGCGGCGTACCCGATTGTTGACGGGAAGCTCGGATCGAACGCGACACACAAGTACATGGAGACGAACGTTGGGGAACGTGTCCGTGTACGTTGTGGGGATCGTAACGACCTCTACATTACCGGAGGTGAGTTAACCCCCAACAAGTCAACCAAAGTTTGTGTGTTTGTTCCGGTTGGGCTCTCCATATTTGTCTATGTTCTGTCATTCATTGGGTCCTTGTTCGTTCGTCGACATTTGACTAACACAGCCCTCATCAAATTTCTTCAAAAAAATAGCTGACCGAATGATCAGGTACAATGAAACTCGGCAGGAAGTTCGAAACGTTACCCTCAACATCGGTCGCCCGATGGCCCTTGCGATTACTCTTTCCAGATCAGTCAATTCAACGATTGGCGAGAGGAAGTTGTTCGTCGCAGGCATTTGCAAAGGGATGCAGAATACGTTGATGAACGTGTGTGTTAATCAGGTCACTACAACCGTCAACGCAACTGCGACAATCAGCAGCTCAAACTCGACAAGCTCTACAAACACCACACTCCCACTGAACGCCACGACGACATCGCCGACTCCCAGCCCGACAGCGTCGCCATCTCCCAAGGCGTTCGAGTTCATCGTTAACACTGAAAGTCTGTGTGATCAGAGGTGTGCCGCTTTGCCATCTACCACGACAACTACCACGACCCGACCTCCCGCATCCAGAACAACAACACCGGCAACCACCGAATCTGCCACAAACGAAACTACATCCACGACGCTCTACGTCGAATCAACGAGCCTCGCAACCGCATCACCATCCCCAACCGCATCCACTGATCTATCAGCTGCAACATCAAATGCCACAACTACCTCTGGTGCATCAAGCAGTGCGTCTGCCTCCGCTTCCCCCGACGTTTCCCCAACTCCAAGCCCCAATAAAACCAGTGCCGCGGACTCAGCTTCGACTTCGAAGGCGCTGACCTCTACTCTTGATCAGAGCGGTGGTGTTTCGGTGACAGCAACGGCCACATCCGCGTCCCCCAGCCCGGCCAGTAGCCCAGCACCCACCACTTCAACCTCCATTGATTCAGCAGGGGATCTCCCAATAAGCGCGGCTGGTGTTCCCGCACAAGGAGGCAATGGCACCAGCACCAGCAGTGCAGCCACTACCACTGCAACAACTACAACATCACCGTCACCTTCGCCTACTCGGTCGAATTCGGGAGGGGCAGATGGTGAACCCACTCGACAACCGCCACCGCCAGCCATCAGTCTCGACCTGACAGTTTTGGTCGACGAGGATGAGGTTGAAGAACTCGTCCAAACAGTCGGTAATGTGGTATCAGGTCTGCTCTCACCGCAGGATAATGGTTCAAGTCAGCGTGGAGCCGGAGCTCAGGGGGCTGCTCAGGCTCAGGCAGCTGAGTGAAGTAAGTTTCACGCGCTAGTGATCCTAACCTCGTTGTATGCCGTAGTGGACAGATAGATGTTTTTGAGAATGTATTTCATACCCGTGTTGTAAATATTGTAAACGCGACGTAAACGCCTGGTCAAGCTACTG